CAGCTCAGCCTGGGGAACCAACCACCAAACTTTTCCCAACAGTGGAGTGTGAGGGTCTCTAATCCTTATAATTTCATTTTCATTCCTTTTATCTTTTCCCTCCTCTTGAACTCATTTCTGCCCTGTGTCCCGTTTCATGTTTCCCAGCAGTGCCCTTCCCCTTTGGTTTCATTTGGTCATGCTCTGATGAACACTTTTTCTTCTTCTTTGGGGATTCTTCAGCTTCTCCCACTTTCCCCGCTCATGTCTGGGATCTGCCAGTGCAGCTGCGTGGTTCCTACTAGGGACTGGCCCAGCTCAACCCAAGGTCTTGGGGCCTTGCCCAGGTGAAAGGATCAGCATACTCAGAAAACCTAAGAAAAGGAAGAACACTGGTTTGACATGGCATCATATTAACAAGATGATTTTTTAAAAATATGTTTTATTGATTTTTAGAGAAAGGGGAAGGGAGAGAGTATGTTACAGAGAAAACCGGAGAAGAACCGAGCAACGTTTAGAGATGGAGTTACATTTATTATTATTACGCGCGGGCCCAGAGGAAAATGTCTCTCAAATTCTGGGCCAGATCACACAGGAGGTTTCCTGTATTTATATCATTTTACCTTCTTTGTCTCCCAAATATGGGGTTCTGTTCCGGTCCCCTTTGCAAGTTCTTAAAGAGCCCCTATGTGCTGGCGCTTTCAGACCTCGACCAAAGGCTTGGCCTGATGCCAGCACTGGTAACTTCGTCTGGAGAAGGTTTAATGGCCTCTCTGAAATGGGAGTAATTTTATTTTCCTAATTATTTAAGCCAGCAAGCACTTACAGAAGCCAGAAATAGCAGGGTTAAAATTTCAAACAGCAGTTTTTATATAAGATGGATGCTTCAAGTAGAGAGATAGAAACATCAATGAGAGGACCTCATCCATCGATCGGCTGCCTCCTGTATGCCCCCGGTGCGGGGATTAAGCCTGCGACCCAGGCATGTGCCCTTGACCGGAATCGAGCCTGGAACCCTTCAATCCACAGGCCGATGCTCTATCTACTGAACCAAACCACCTAGGGTCAGGACGATTTTTATATGAGAAGTCACACAGACCCTCTGGGCCAGAATGACTGTCCACCGACTCTGAGATCCAGAAATGTGAAATCAGCCTGGCCTGTGTGGCCCAGTGGTTGAGCATCGACCTATGAACCAGGGGGTCATGGTTTGATTCCCCGTCAGGGCACATTCCTGGGTTGTGGGGCTCGGGTTGCGGGCTTGATCCCCAGTGTGGGGCATGGAGGAGGCAGCTGATCAGTGATTTTCTTTCATCATTGATGTTTCTATTTTTCTCTCCCTCTCCCTTCCTCTCTGAAATCAATAAAAATATATTAAAACAACAAAAACACCCCTTCCCTTATTACACTAGTACCCAGGGTGGGTGGGGGGCCCCCGAGCCGCAGGGTTGGTATCCTAGGCTGCCCTGCACCTGGTTTCTGGCTTTCCTGGTCAGATAGGCCATGTTTCATGTATGCTGACCAGGACCCAAGGTCAGGAATGGAGTAAGCGGTGACCGCGGGCTCTGACAGCTCTGTGCTGCACTTGCCTTAGGCCGCCTGACCTCCACAAAGCCTGAGGTCTATAAAGATGTGTTTTCAGGGCGGCACTGAGTCTGCCAGATGGGAAGATGCTCTAAGACCACAGCTGTCTGTCTGCAGCATACTGGTTTCTATTTATTCTGAGAGTTTGGGCTTGGACTGTCCTGCTGACTGACGCCTTTAGTGTCAAGCTTCAAACCACCCAGCTCCTGTCTTGCATGTCAGTCAGTAGCAATTTGTCTTCTCGGTTGTTCAGGCTATAAACCTCCGACTCATCTCCCTCCCTCTCATGTCCTATGTCCGAGCCATCAGCAAGTCCAGCCAGCTGTGCCTTCAGATCAGATCCAGAATCTGGTCCTTTCCACCACCTCCACCACTGCCAACTGCCCAGGCCATCCTTCTCTGCCACCAGGTGCTTCTTGCAGCTGTACCCACTCTGCTCGACCAGCGATCTTGGCTCCATTGAGACCTCCAGGGCTCTGTCTGCTCAGAGTCAAAGCCAAAGCCCTCCCCAGCAAGGCCAGCCTGGGCAACCCAGGACCTTTGTGTCTGTGGCATGTCTGCCTAGTCCACTGTTCCCCAGAGTGGTCTCACACACTTCTTGGAGGCTGGCCTTGCCCCTCTTAAGTAAGATCTCAAACCCTCACCAACCTTCATTTCCCTTTCCGGCTTGTCACCTAATGTACGGTAAATTCTTCCTCTTCCTTATTTCTTTGTGTATTGTCTTCCCTCACTGGAATGTAAGGCCACATGGTGGGCTGGGACATTTGTTTTTTATTAGCTTTTGTTAGCTGGCTGCTGTTTGCCTCCTGTGGAGATGAAGATAACAGGCAGCTCACAAACATCAGCAGCAGCTTCTTCTAGTCTAGAACTCTTGATTCTGAAGCTTTTATTCCTTAGCTGCATCAAAGATTGTAACTCACATTCTGATTTTAAATTTTTATTGTCTAACTAGAGGCCCGGTGCACGAATTCGTGCAGGGGAGGGGGTGTTGATCAGGGCCTGCTGACTCGGGGGAGGGACCGCAGGAGGTTGGCCAGCAGGCCCCGATCTAGTTGTGTAGATGTGCAGAGGTAGTGGCACACAAAGACCACAGACAGAGTGCCCCAAAATGGCCTGAACACCAGCTAATCTCTGAGGTGGAAATACAGCTCTACTTCACTGCCCGCACTTGGGCCGCCTCACTCTCCCCGGGGCAGAGTTGCTGACAGACAGACAGGTTGTCTCTCCTACCTCAGCCACACATTTTTTCAGAGCTCTGCCCCCAAGCATGGTAGGTAGCTGACTTCGGCCAATGGTGGCACACTGCCATAGGGGCGCTAGCCAATCAGCAGTTGGGAGCCCGGAAAGGCATGGGGCCAAACTAGAAGTGGCTGATGGGGGCAGAAGGTCAAGCGGTGCGCATGCATGGTTCAGTGGCAGGGGTTAAGATGGTGGTGGTGCTTACTTTATGTCTTTGCAGTTCGGCTGCTGCCTTGCCCCTTCTGCCTCCTCCGAGCTGCTACTCTGTCTCGATCGGGGTTGCTCTCCTCCTACAGGCTTCCCAGACCCAGATTCTCCAGGGCCTGGAGCCTTAGCTGGGGGGAGGGATCGGCCAGTGGGAGGGACCACGAGAGGTTGGCCAGCACAGGAGGTTGACTGTGGGAGCGCACCAACCACCAGGGGGCAGCTCCTGCATTGAGCATCTACCCCCTGGTAGTCAGTGCGCGTCATAGTGACTGGTCAACCATCATTCCAGTCGTTTGGTTGTAACAGTTGCTTAGGCTTTTATATATATAGATGTTTGTTCAAAATCACCAGTTAAAACATTTGAACATATTTATTTCTTTATTGGAAGGACTTCTATTAATAATTTGATTTATTTTTCAGAGATACAACTGTTTCTTATATACATTTATGTGGTTTATGTTAATGGAATTTGGTCACTTCATCTACAATTGCGCATTTGTGGGCATAGAGTTTTTTGTAGTGTTGCCTCTTATTTAATGTCTAAAATTATTGGCAATTACACAACTTTTTTTAAAAATATATTTTATTGATTTTTTTACAGAGAGGAAGGGAGAGGGATAGAGAGTTAGAAACACCGTTGAGAGAGAGAGACATCGATTAGCTGCCTCCTGCACACCCCCCACTGGGGATGTGCCTGCAACCAAGGTACATGGCCTTGACCGGAATCGAACCTGGGACCCTTTAGTCCACAGGCTGACGCTCTATCCACTGAGCCAAACCAGTCAGGGCTACACAACTTTTTTTAAAAAATGTGTTAAAATATACAAAAATAGAATTTTCCATCTTTTACTTTTTATAAATATTTTTATTGTTGACTAGAGGCCCAGTGTACAAATTTGTGCACCAGTGGGGTCCCTCAGTCTGTCCTGCGGGTTGGGCTGAAACCGGCTCTCTGACATCCTCAGAGAGGTCCCGGGTTGCAAGAGGGTGCAGGCCAGGCTGAAGGACCCCACCGGTTCACGATTGGGGCCAGGGAGGGACGCAGGAGGTTGGCCAGCTGGGGAGGGGCTGCAGGAGGGCTCCAAGGTGTGTCTAGCCCATCTCGCTCAGGCCAGACCCCAGCAGCAAGCTAACCTACTGGTCGGAGTGCCTGCCCCTTGGTGGTCAGTGCATGTCATAGCGACTGGTCAACTCTCTGCCCCCTAGTGGTCAGTGCACGTTATAACGAGCGGTTGAGCATCCTTAGCATATCATTAGCATATTATGCTTTGATTGGTGGAACAGACAACCAGACACTTAGCATATTAGGCTTTTATATAGGATTATGAAAGTTGTATTGGCCAAAGCTCTACAGTTGCCATCCTCACTGTCAAACTTTCTGTAAGCAATTTGAAAAGGAAACACTGAAAGGGAGCTGCTACATTGGAAAGGAATGGATTTTCACCCCCATTCCTATTCAGGCTGTTACATTGCCCTCTGTGGGCCCAGAAGTCTATGCGCCATTCCCCGTTCTGCCCATTATGTTCTTCTCTTGGGCTGGGGCTGCCACCAGCTGGCCACACAGTCTCCTCTTCAGTTCCCAGTTGTCTCAGCCTTGGTGGGACACTTCTCCAGCTCCAGAGCCCTTCACTTCCCTTCCTCCTGGATATTATTCTCCCAGGCTGCTTCCAATTTATAGCCAAAGGTTGTATAATTTCAGAGACCAAGGTGCTTCTGGAACTCCGATCTCTTCAATGGATCTCCTGTTCTCCCTTCATGTAGGAGATAACCACATTCTGACACTGATCTACAAGATGACATTTACTCATTGTTTGGCCTTTTTCTCCCCCTCTTGACAGGTGGCTGGTAGCATGTTTAGAATCAGCAGGTTCCGCTGTAAATTATGAGGCATGTGCTGACCGAGTGTGCTTCCACACAAAGCTCAGCAGGGCTCGGTCAGAAGGAGACCAGTGGACATGGAGCCACTGACTGTCTTTTTCATTTGTCCTCAGAGCCCCCCAAGATGAACCCAGTGGTGGAGCCGCTGTCCTGGATGCTGGGCACCTGGCTGTCAGACCCGCCGGGAGCTGGAACCTTCCCAACACTGCAGCCCTTCCAGTACCTGGAGGAGGTGCACATCTCCCACGTGGGCCAGCCCATGCTCAACTTCTCGTAAGTGCACCTGAGTCTCCGGGAGAATGCCAGGTGGGAAGGGCATGTCCCAGAGAGGCTCCCTGCACTTGCAGCTGAAACATGTGGTGGGCAGAGACAGGATGTTCTGGCTCCTGTGTATGTGATGATGCTAGGCTGGCAAGATGTCAGGTGTGTTACCCCAAACACAAAATAAGTGCTCGTGCTTAACTAAACCCTTCACCCAATATTACTGAAAAGGAGAGAGCTTGACTTTCTTTCAGACTTACCCCTGAGCTGATTGAGGTCTCAAAGGAGTTGTTAATATTTTGCTTCTCAGGTTCTTATTAGACAACAAAGCAGAGTTCCTCCAGCTGTGTGCGTTTTACCCCAGCCCCAACCACAGGAGGCAGGTCGTAGTGTCAGGTGGCTAAATAGAAGGGAACCAGGGGAAGTGGCTGAGAATATTTTTATTTTCAATTTCAGAGGTAACACACAGTTTTTAAAGTTTAAGCAATGAAAAAATATAAAAAGTAAAAGTCTGCCCTTTCCCAATATCCGCTGTACATTTAATTATATATTAAGGGTCTTATTAAATTAACTTGATTCTGTTTATGTCATGCCTAGAAACTTCAAAAGGATTTAGAAGACCTTGCTTTTAAAAATATTAACTCATACCTTATTGTATTATTCTTGACTGAATGGATGAGGGCAGAGTAAGATTCTGTACATAACACCAAAGAGGAAATTCTGGATAACACAAAATAACGGGCAGTATAAAACAGTCTTGTTAAACAGTGGGCTACAACCCAAAGATAATTTTGTGACTACAGTACAAAATATCTATTTTGGTGAATAGAATTGTGAGTGTGTTAGACTATGATCTAGAGCAGTGATGGCGAACCTTTTGAGCTCGGCGTGTCAGCATTTTGAAAAACCCTAACTTAACTCTGGTGCCGTGTCACATATAGAAATTTTTTGATATTTGCAACCATAGTAAAACAAAGACTTATATTTTTGATATTTATTTTATATATTTAAATGCCATTTAACAAAGAAAAATCAACCAAAAAAATGAGTTCATAGGTTTGCCATCACTGATCTAGAGTGTATTTCTCATTAGGGTTGTGGAGAGACGGCATGTGCTGTGGCCGCCAGCACTGCCCTGTTCAGGGTTCGATTCCAATGGCAGCTCACAGTGCTGGCAAAGTTCTGTTAGAGTCTAAGTGCAGAACTGTCAGCGCAGCTGTCTCTTCTATCACCATGAACTTGCAGGTTGATTGATAAGAAGTGGAGTCCTGACTCAGGGCCTGTTCTTTTCCCCACCGTGTAGATGAGTGGGTGTCCAAGGCAAGATGATAGCTCTGGGGAGGGCAGACCTGGTGTAAGGGTGGGATTTGGTGCTGAGGCCTGAAGCATGTCAGGTGTGGGCTAAAAGGGCCTTGGGAAGGGTAACCACAATTATAAAGAACATGTTGGCTGTCCTTGAGGTGGTGCCAAGCACAGCGGAGTGTTTGTGTGGGGAGGTTTCAGGGGGTGCTTTCAGGCTAGAGGTCAAACCCCTAATGCACCTGGTGGCCACAACCCATGAATGTGGTTGCTCAAGTGTCTTTCCATGTGAGCGAGAAGTGTATTACCTTGTGCTCAGTGGGGGCCTTATAAAGTGGGGAGGGTGGCCGCAGAGCCTGCATTGAGGGCCCTGCATCCCTGCCCTCACCTATGCCCTGTCCTCACCCCCTGGTCCCCATGCAGATTCAACGCTTTCCACCCGGACACACGGAAGCCCATGCACAGAGAGTGCGGCTTCATCCGGCTACAACCCGACACCAACAAGGTGGCCTTCGTCAGCGCCCAGAACACAGGTACCTCTTGCCAGCCAGCCAGATGGCCCCTGGGTGAGGTAGCGTCTGCCTCTGTTCCTTCAATCGCTCCGGTGTCCCTGCTCACAGACATTTTGTGGGAGTCAGTTGGGAGGGGGACACAGACCTAATCCTGTGGGTCCCTTTCAGGGCAGGAAGCATCAGGACAAGTGCAGTGGGGCCTGCAGGTGGGGAGTCAGCAGGTGGAGTCCTGTCTGCAGTCTCTGAGCTCCACAGGAGGTGGTAAAGAAGTGTTTCTGTGAGAACGGGCTGATTTTTTTTTCCGCCTGAGTTCCTTCAATGACAGCACACTCCCCGGCTCCCGGGTGTTTCCTATGGGACACGCCCCTAGGGAGAGAGCTAGACCAGGGAGGCTCACTGTCCGTCTGAAAGCTCTTGTCTGGAAGTCTGCTTTGCCCCTAGAATGAGGTCATTCTAAAATAGCTTACCAGGTTCATCAATTAGAAATGACGCAGAACCCAGCTGTTGACTTTTACCTGCTCACTGCCTCAGATGAGTCTCACTTCCTGGAAGCAGGTGGACAGTTAGGACCAGCCCAATCTGGAATGGAGCCCAGGACATTGGTGGACTGCAAGTCAGTGGGCAGCCAGAGGGATGTCCATTTCCCTGGCCACCTTTTCCTCCTCTCAGATCCTAGGGGACCTATTTGAGGGGGTGGGGAAGGCGGGTGGAAGTCAGGGCACCCCTGGACAGGTCGACCCTCTGTAGATACCTGCCCTGGCTGTACTAGTATGAGGAGTTGTGTTTTTCCCCTCTTGATATCAGGAGGTTCATTGCAGACAAGGGGCCTTGTGGCCTTGATGGCTGCAGAGTTCAGGTCTGTTGAATCTATGAATGCAAAGATGGACAGCCAAGAGCCCATGGCAGGCTGTCATGGACTGGTGGCCCTCTCTTGCAGGCATTGTGGAGGTGGAGGAGGGCGAGGTGAACGGGCAGGAGCTGTGCATCGCATCCCACTCCATCGCCAGGATCTCCTTTGCCAAGGAGCCCCACGTGGAGCAGGTGAGCCTGTCATCCCTCTCAGACGTCACTTTGTGGTGAAGGCAGGATTGCACATTGTTCTGACTTCTCACTTTGTCTTGGGGACCTGTCTGTCTCCAGGGCACATCATTCTTCCTCACTTACATGTCCTGGCTGGTGGGCAGGGAGATTCTCAGGTTCCTTGTTTTTCTGTCACAAACATCCTTTTCCATTTGTGTTGTCCACTTTTGCAGGTATATCCACATCTATTGGATAAATTTCTCCCAGTTGAATTGTTGGATCAAAGGATAGGTACATTTAAAATTTTGATAGATACAAGTAAATTCCTTTTATTAATGAATTCCTACCAGCATTGCATGAGTGCCTGGTTCCCTTCTCCCTTATCAACATGCTAATCTGATAAAGAAGCGATTGCATCTCATTCGTGTTTTAAATTTAACATATGAGTGAAAGGGGGGACTCCCCACACTCATTCACCATTGGTATTTCTTGTTCTGTGTACTTGATGTTTAAAGTCATTGCCTGTTTTTCTGTGGGCTTTCATTTTTTTTATTGATTTATGGGGGCTTTTTATATACTATGGATATTAATCTGTTGTTTGCATTTCCCCATTTGGTGGCTTGTGTGACTTTGGTTTTGATGTGTTCTACCCACAGGTTGTAAGCTTTACTGTGGTTGCCTCTGGGGGTCTTTTCCTTTGTGGTGTGTGGATTTGGGTTCATGGTCAGAAAATTGTTTTCTCCAAAATGATAAAATTCTTCTTCCATTTTTCTTGTACTCTTATAGCTTTCCTTCTTACACTCAGACCTTTAGTTTCTCTCAGATTTGTTTTTACAGGATGCAATGTATAGTTCTGACTTTCCTCAGATGGATGAACGGTGACCCTACAGATTTGAAATGTCATGCCTATCACAAGCACATCCCCCATAAATAGGGGAAGGGGCCTTTTTCTTTCTTTTTGTCTTTTTTAATAGTAATTTAAAATCATCTAATAATTTAAAGTTACCACACTTTGTTATATTTTAATGTCTAGGGAAAGTTCTTGATTTTTAAAATTTTCTTGATTAGCTCTGGCCAGTGTGGCTCAGTTGATTGGAGTGACATCCCATGAAACCAAAAGGTCTTGGGTTTGATTCACATACTTAGGTGGCAGGTTTGATCCCCGGTTCAGGAACATGTAGGAGGGAACCAATAGATGTTTCTCTCTCCCTCTCTTTCTCTTCCTCTCTCGAAAAATCAACTTAAAAAAACAACACATCACCTGGCCTGTGTGGCTCAGTTGGTTGAGTGTTGACCCATGCAGCAGGAGGTCACCGGTTCAATTCCCAATTAGGGCACATGCCTGGGTTTTGGGCTCAATCCCCAGTACAGAACATACAGGAGGCAGCCAATTAGTGTTTCTTATCTCATCAGTGTTTCTCTCTCACTCTCCCTCTCCCTTCCTCTCTCTGAAGTCAATAAAAACATATTTTAAAAATACACATATCCTTAAGTGAGGATTTTTTTTAAATGCTAACTTTTCTTGGTTAATTCTTAAGCAGTTCCTCATTGAGATAACCTGTTCAATGAGTTTGTCCAGGTCCATAAAATATAAATCAAGATTGTGTGAATACACGAATTAAATGGGGGAGAACTGGAGTCTTTCCATGGGTAGTGCTACACAGCAGCGTGATGGTGTGCTGCAGTAATTTCAGGTCTAGTGTGGTGTGTTCAGTAGATATCAAAAATGTATTTCTTTATCACTTAAATCATATAGGTCTTGGCCACTTCATGGTAGAGTGAAGCCTTAAGTGCCATATAGTTTCTGTTGCTATGTGCATAGACTGTTGTCTCCATTTCATCTTCTAACTGTGTTTCGGTGGTTATAAGGGAACACATGGTTTCTGTGTGTTTCTGTCCATCTGAGTCACATCTGTCAGTCTCTGACCACCGGGTCTGGGCATGGCACTGCCAGGGTCACGGGGGAACCTGTTGACCTCAGGCCTGACTTCCTGAGGTACTGCTGTGTCACAGCCCTGTTGGATGCTTGCTGGAGGCCGTGGCCGGGTCAAGAAGATCCTGTTTCTAGTGTGCTAAGAATTGTTTTCAAGAAAGGGTTTTGAGTTTCTTCAAATGCTCTTGCAGCCTCTTTGGGGAAGATTCTGTGTTTTTTCCACTTGAAGCTGTCAATGCAGTGAATTATATTAATAACTCTGTTGAATCATGTTTGAAGATCACTTCTACTAGTTATAATGAATTAAATAATTTTTTCAGATGTCCATTTTGGTATTAGTTATTCATAGAGCTCCTTAGCTGTTTCTCCCCCCTGGCAAGGGTGGCCCCCACAGGACTAAGTGGTGACCCCTTGGGAACATGTCTTGGCCGGGCACTGGGGAGCAGAGGGACCCAGACCTGGATGCTGCTTCTGCCTCCACTGTTCATCTCCAGGCCCTACCTCACTTCATTTGTAAATTCACGGCTCCTTATATCAAGATTTTCAGAGTTTGGAGAAGTGACACATATGTCCCCCTGGATTTTCTGTGTCTTCTCTTTTTCTTCTTGCCAGAGGCTTCCTATTTTATCAGGGTTTTGGTTATTTTCGCTAGAGAACTAACTTTGGGTTTTATTAATTAACCAAAAAGTACTCTTCTGCAAAAGGAGGGAGTAGGCAGAGGTGAGGCCTGTGGGAGAGGGGTATAGGGGAGGGCTCCACTCTGCAAAGTGACCTGGCTGACCAGAGGCTGGTCTCACATGCCTGGTTCACCTTCCCCCCTGGGTTGGCCTTTCCCTGTGAGTTTACCTTTCCCCTTGGCTTGACCCTTACTATGTTCTCTTGGGTTAAATATTCTTAGCATTCTGTTTTATTTCTTCTGTTCGTTTCTTAACTGTATCTTTTTTTAATGGCTGCTTTCAGGCTATCTGCATCTTAACTTATAATCAGTTAAGAATACCATTGCATTCCCACTTCCCACCTGATTTTGGATAATCCTGTGCTCTTTGCAGCTGAACTTTCCCCTTTCCATTTCACGAGTCCTAACCTCACAGCTCCGTAACTCCATTTACTCTATTGTGCTGCTGTCACCACACCTGGTCCATGTGGGGGATGGACACACAAACACACTGCACTAGGAACCTTCATAGAATTGTTACTTTTGCTTTAGTCAGTTGACTTCCAAACAAATTATAATGAGGGGAAGTAATCTCTTATACTTATCCATTTATTTTCTCTCTGTGTTGCCCTTGCCTCCTTCCTGTCACTCTGAAATTCCAGTGGTACTATCTCCCTTCATCCTGAAGACCTGCATTAACAGTGTTTCTCATAGCACGAATCTGCTGGCAACAATGCTCTTGAGTTTATTTCACACCCAACTTTTTTTTCTTTTTCAATGTTTTTATATTGAGTTGAAATACATATAGAAAAAATTGATCATCTTAACCATTTTCAAGTGTCCACTTCAGTGATTTTTATAATTCACTTCGTTATGCAGCCATCACCACCATCCATCCCCATAGCTCTTTTTTTTTTTAAATATATTTTTATTGATTTTTTACAGAGAGGAAGGGAGAGGGATAGAGAGTCAGAAACATCGATGAGAGAGAAACATCGACCAGCTGCCTCCTGCACACCTCCCACTGGGGATGTGCCCACAACCAAGGTACATGCCCTTGACCGGAATTGAACCTGGGACCTTTCAGTCCGCAGGCCAACGCTCTATCCACTGAGCCAAACCGGTTTTGGCTCCCATAGCTCTTGTATATTGGAAACACTATCTATGAAACCATAACTCCCCTTTCTCCCCTTCCCGAGCCCCTGGCGGCCACCATCTACTTTCTCTCTGTGATTTTAATGACTCTTAAGTACCTATTATAAGTAGAATCACATAATATTTGTCTTTTTATGACTGGCTTATTTTATCAGCGTAATGTCCTCAAGGTTCATCCATGTTGTCGCACATGGCAGGATTCCCTTCCTTTTTATGGCTAATATTCCCTTGTGTGAATGGAACACATTTTGTTTAACCTTTCCTCCGTCCATGGACACTTGGATTGCTTCTGTGGGTGTGCAAATATCTCTGAGACCCTGATTTCAATTCTTTCAGTCTGTATTCAGGAGTGGAATTGCTGGGTCACGTGGTAACTCTGTGTTTAATTGTTTGAGGAACCATTATACTATTTTTCACAGAAGCTGCACCATTTTCCATTCCCATCTTCTATGCACAGGGCTCCAGTTTCTCCACGTCCTCGTTAACACTTGATATTTTCTGGGGTTTTGATAGCAGCCATCTTGATGAGTGAGGAGGCAACACTGTGGTTTCATTTGTGTTTCCCATGATCATTGCTGCTGAGCATCTTTTCATGGGCTTGTTAGCCATTCGTGTATCTTTGCAGAAATGTCTATTCAAGTCCTTTGTCCATATTTGAACAGGGTTATTTGGGTTTTTTCGTTTGTTTCCTTGTTTTTTACAATGAAATTCCAGCAATCTTTGTGATTGTTGGGAACTCTTCTTTTTTTAAAAAAATATGTTTTTAGAGAGGAAAGGGAGAGAGATATAGAAACATCAATGAGCCCTAGCAAGTTTGGCTCAGTGGATAGAGCGTCGGCCTGCAGACTGAAGGATCCCGGGTTCGATTCTGGTCAAGGGCACATACCCAGGTTGTAGGCTCTATCCCCAGTAGGGGGTATGCAAGAGGCAACCGATCAATTATTCTCTCTCATCATCAGTGTTTCTCTCTCTCTCTCCCTCTCCCTTCTTCTCTGAAATCAATAAAAATATATTTTAAGAAAAGAAAAGAAACATCAGTGATGAGAGAAAAACATCTATCGACCACTTCCCGCACGCCCCTACTGGGGGTCAAGCCCACGCTACCTCGACATAGGCCCTGGCCAGGAATCGGACCAATGACCTCTTGGTTCATGGATCTATGCTCAACCACTGAGCCACATTGGCCAGGCCAGGATTTTTTGTTTTTGGATCAGAAGAGTTCTTAATGTATTCTGGATATTACCTCTAATATCAGGTATTTGACCGGCAAATATTTTCTTTCATTCTGTGGGCTGCCGTTTACTCTATCAATAGTGCCTTTTGATATATAAATTTTTTAAATATTCATGGTGTCCCGTTTGTCTGTTTTTTCTGTTGTTGACTGTGTTTGGTGTTACATACAAGAAATCCTTGCCCAGTCCAGTGTCATGAAGCTTTTGCTCATTTTTCTTTTAAGAGGTTTATAAATTTAGCTTTTATATTCAAGTCTCTGATCTATTTTGAGTTATTGTTATTGTTTTTGTATATTCTATTAGATAAGGGTCCAGCTTCATTCTTTTGTGTGTGAATATCCAGTTCTCCCAGCACCATTAGTTGAAAAGAAAGTCTTTTCCACATTGAATGGTCTTGACAACCTGTTGAAAACCAATTAGGACAGCTAGGAATGTCTTAAAAATAAGGACCATCTCTGTTTAATTAAACAGCAAAGCCAGCCTGGGGTCTTGAACACAGAATTAGAGCTGAATTTGAATTGTTTTTTACCTCTTCCTCCCCTTACCTCCCACATTCCATGAGTCACAGAGAATTGCCCTTTCTTCCTCAGTGATAGCAGGCTACACCCACACTGCCCAGTCCCCGTGGCCACAACCTTTGATCTCTCCCCAGTGCAGTTTTTTAAGCACTGTGTTCATTACTCCACCCAGGAATCTTCAGAAATGCCCTTCTGCTTATATTGGGATGATAGCCACACTTTAAGCAAATTAACTGCTCGTCACTCATACCAGTTCTCACACTTCAATGTACCAGTGAATCTAAGGTGTTGATGTCAAAAAACCCTTGAAACCTGTAAAGAATTTTTGTGAGTTTATTTGAGCCAAACTGTCGACATATGCCGAGAAGCAGAACCTCAACGAATTGAGATAATGCTCTGGAGAATGGCGGGTTACATTTGTATTTATACATTGCAATCAAAGGAGGTACGTAGGTGGGTTACATGAAATTCATTGGTGATAGATTAAGGAGGTGGGCTAAAGCAAAGCGGGGCGGGGTGGGGGGACCCCTGGGATTGGATAAAAAGTAAAATGATGGACACTTAGGTGGGTGCAGGAACAGTTAACATGAAAATGAAGGAATTTGTGGTATCTGTCCTGGTGCCCAGCATATTTGGTTGTGCCCCAGGGGCTCCAGAAAAAGGGAAGTTACAAGTTACCCAGACATTTCAAGGGTATGTTATCATAGATGCAAAAAAGACAGCTAGACTCAATTAAGGTAAAGGTTGACCTTGTCAGTAAAGATACGGGCCTAGGACTGTAACTGCCCTCCGTAACTGCTTTTAGTTAGTTTAATTTCAGACCATCCTTTGTGGTTACTTTAGGTCTCTGAGTTTGCAAGACTGCCATGCAGGCCTCCCCTGAGCTTGTCAGGTCAGCATGTGGCTCCTTTCATCCACAAGGGGTTTTGTTGAAATGCACGCTCTGATCCAGTGAGTCTGGGTGTGGCTTCCCCACCCCTCACCCCCAAAAAAGAGATGGGCTGTCTTCCTGAAGTGTCAGAGGCTCAGAGTTGCCTTTGTCTGAGAAGTAGAGCTCCCACTGTGGCGGCCTGTCCAGAATGTGGGCTTGCAGCAGCCTGCACAAGCTCTGCTTTGTAGTCGGCAAGGCCAACAGTTGCTTCCAACCCCACCTTATTGAAATGAGGGCCAGTCTGTGGCTCAGATGGACCCCTGACAGCCTCGGGACACCCAGAGTTATTGTTAGTGACCTCATTGGATTGATAGATGGAACCACGGGCACCAGAAGAGGTCTATTGAGCCTGAGCAATGCAGTGTATATCTGCCTCAACTTTAATTCTTTCCAAATAACTTTAGTTTGAAGAGGAAAATAGCACAAGAAAGTTCAAGGGGATACAAAGTCCCAAGGACCTGACAAGTGGCTTTTGGGGAGCCTGTGCAAGGCACTGCCATTGCCAGCTTTGGCACTGAGGCAGCCATGCGACAGCTGACTGTCATCCCTGAGATGGGGTGACAGTGCTCAGGAGGCCACGCTCTGCACGTGTGCACAGCTGGGGCGGGGGGCATGGGGCAGCCCCTCACCTGCTTTTCCCCACACTGTCTCCTTCCTGGGACCCAGGGAGAGGTGACCTCAGTGTCTCAGCCACAGTGACTGCCCCCAGGCTGTCTCCCCATCTCTTGCACACCTGCTTCTTGCTGCCAAGTTACTTTTAGTGGAGCAAGGTGGCTGCTATGGGGTGTCCACAGATTTTGGCACAAACAGACAGAGTTGAAGGCTGAGAGACAGGCTCACTGGGTCCCTGAATAGTGAGATCGGTGTGATTGTATGGGATGTGTCCAAAAGCCACTCCAGCAGTGCAGAGAGAGAACCGTGAAGTGGCAGGTAATGGAGCCACGTTGGGTCTCCCCTCTGCACTCCCTTCTCTCTGATTGGTCCTTGCAGCCTTGGTGACTTTCTGATTCCTTTAAATAGACTCTTTAAAATCTAACTTTTTCTCTGCCAGAGGTTTGACCAATTACAATACAGTTGTCTGCAGCTCAAAGCAACACTCCTATTTCATGTGCTTCTGGAGCTCTCAGAATGTTCTGGAACAATAGAAAGGGTGACCGTCCGAAGTATCTCTCAACAGTTGTCGTGGTTCCTCACTCTGCAGACATCCCAGGCAGAGAAGGTTTTCTCACAGGTTGCTTGCTACAGGCTTCCTTTTTGGAAACTGCCACCATAGTTTGTTCCTAAGTGCTGCTGCTAAGTTTTCCAGGAACATGTGTGACCATCAGTGCAAGCTGTAGAGTGAAGTGGGAAGGTCACCTTTTGCCTGATCAAGTGTATAATTTACTGACAGAAAAAGAAGATGGCTTCTAAATACCCTAAGATGGGAGGGACCAAGTCATGGTCTCCTGAGGACAGAGAAAGGCGAGGACACCTGGATCTTGGCAGGTGCTGTAGCTCTGTGGGCAGAGTCTGTCATCTGACTCAAAACTAAGGTGACTTGTCGTAGCCCCTGCAGGAACACTTGGCCTGTGGTGGGACCTCAAGCATTTGTTGTATCTTTGGAAGATAAAACTAAGATGTTTTGTATTTGTTTTGTTCTGCTCAGATTACCCGAAAATTCAGGCTGAATTCTGAAGGCAAACTTGAACAGACAGTCTCCATGGCAACCACTACCCAACCCATGACTCAGCATCTTCACATCACCTACAAGAAGGTGACCCCGTGACCCAGAGCAGAACTTCATCCTGGCCGTGTGTGTCAGGATGTGACACTAGGCTTCTCACAGACACCGCAGCAGCAAGTGTGGGTGTGGCTGCAGCTCCCAGGGGGATCAAGGGTATTGCCCCGTGTTCCTGTAATGGCATAGATAAACCAAATAAAAGGCCTTTATTTTTATGGCTGAGCATTTTGATATTATGTGTGTGGACTGTCCAGCTCCTCATCTGCTGGTAACTGTTTTCGAGAGTCTTTTCCCTAAAAAAGACTGCATTTTTTACAAGATCTGAAATATGTATAAACCTTAAGTAGAGTGGTCAATCATAAGCTAAAGACAAAGACGGACAGAAAGAGTTGCTGTGATTTTTAATGAGCTAAAGGAGCCTGAGGAACCCATTTCCATAAGGACAAAGGGTGTTCCCAAGGCAAGAGGGTAGTTGTGAAATTAGTGTCATTATGTACGTCTTATTTTATTACTCTGTAATATAATATTACTTGGATTTCTTTCTTTGTTGACTATGAGTTTGCAGACATACACTGACCTGTGTACCTGCCACCCAGTTTTAACACCTGCCAGCTTTTCCATCCCAGTGATTTCACCTGTTCTTCCGCCTTCTTTTTGCTAGAGTATTTTAAAGCAAATTCCACACATAATGTCATTGATCCCTAAATGCTTCAATATGCATTTAAAAACAAAACCTTTTATTTTCTTAACACACCAGGGTATCAGAAACCACACCAGGAGCACAGACACATGTGGAAGGAGGTGCTCCAGCTGCAGAGAGATTAGCACCTGCAAGAGCAGCTGCATCCTACCCATCCCTCAGGGCTTGGGGACAAAAGACATTACCAGGTGGTGGTTTAAGGACAAAAGACATTATCAGGTGGCACACCTGGAAGCTCAGAGGAGGAACCAGGGCTGGCGCTGAGCCATCATATGGGAGGAGCATGGCCAGTGTGTAAGGAACTCGGCTGGTTCCCCAAGTGCCAGGACACAGGGAAGCCAGGCACTGCAAGTCAAACTCAGGTACAATTCATCCTGAGGCACAGCCCTTGCCGGCCGTGAACCTGTGAAACCAGACAAGGAATGTGCCTCCAAAATAAGGTGTTGGGACAGTCATGGGCTGGACATTCCCATTCCAAAGGGGTGGGCAGGCAGTGACAGGTCCTGAGCAAAACCAAAACCTTAAGGCCTCAGAATAATCCTCTGTACTCATGTCTGCCTCTAGGCCCACTGGGGTAGAGGTCCCTCCTGGGTTGCAGTAACACAGTGGCTCTATCCACCGGGGGTCATCCTAATGGGGCGCTCTCTGCAGCGGCCTCACCTATGTAGGGCCTGGCTCTCTGCCTGGGTCATGAGCCCCCGCACCACTGCAACTTCCAAACTCTAGGGGGAGGTAACAGCCCCCATGGCTCATACACATGCCACCAATGTGTGCGGCCTGTGCCTCCTAAAGGGCTGGCTCAAATACGTGGGGGAACATTGTGCAGTGGCAATATCGTAGCCAATGAGGTTTATCTGAGGCGTGATTATTGCTAATTGGGGAAAAAAAGTGGATAGCAGGCCCTTTCGCTCTGGGCCTGTAAGGGGAGGGCACCCCATGCTCTCTGAAATGCCTTCAGTCATTCTTCCTGGTCTTGGACTAGAGGCCCTGACTTCTGTGTAGGGGGCTGGCTAATTCCCCCAGGGTTGTAGAAAATCACCCCTAACTTCTTTGAGATGGCCAATTAATACTAATTTCCTTATCAAATCTGGGCACACCAGTCATGTTTCCTCAGAGCAAGCTTTCTCATTATTTTCAATGTGGATAGGCTGAGAATTTTCCAGATTTTTAAGGTCTGCTTCCTTTTTTTTTTTTTTTTTTTAAATATATTTTATTGATTTTTTTACAGAGAGGAAGGGAAAGAGATAGAGAGTTAGAAACATCGATGAGAGAGAAACATCGATCAGCTGCCTCCTGCACATCTCCTACTGGGGATGTGCCCGCAACCCAGGTACATGCCCTTGACCGGAATCGAACCTGGGACCCTTCAGTCCGCAGGCTGATGCTCTATCCACTGAGCCAAACCGGTTTCGGCCCTTTTTAAAATATATATATCTTGTTGGTTTCAGAGAGGAAGGGAGAGGGAGAGAGAGATAGAAACATTAATGATGAGAGAGAATCATTGATGGGCTGCCTCCTGCACGCCCCACACTGAGGATGGAACCATTGACCTCCTGTTTCATAGGTCAACACTCAACCACTGAGCCACGCTGTCCAGGCAGTCTGCTTCCTTTTTGATGAACAACTCTGTAAGTCGTTTCTCTCTTCCTGCATTTTACTATAGTATTCAGGAGATATTAGGCGACTCCTTCAAAACTTTGACTTAGCTTAGAAATTTCCTGCCGAATAGCCAGTTTCATGACTCACACGTTCTACCATCCACAGAACTTGGCCACAGACGCAGTTCCCCCGAGCACTCTGCCACTTGATAGCAACCATCACCCTCCCTCCAGCTTCTAAGAACTTGACCCTCATTTCCATATGAGATGTCATCAGAATGGCCTTTACCATCCGTATTTCTACAACATTCTGTTGAGTGTTGAGTGGCTCAGATTTCTCTAAGAAGATGGAGGCTTTCTCTCCACTCCCCACTTTTCTCTCTGAGTCACTAGAATCACCCAAAACAGTCCATTCATGCAATGTAGACTTTTCCTAGCATAGACCTCTGTCAATTGCCAGGAAGCAAAATCTCAATGAATTAAGATAATGCTCCAGAGAATGGCAGTTTTGCACCTTATTTTAATTTTTGTTATTATATTTTTTAATCCTCACCTGAGGATATTTTTTCCATTGATTTCCAGAGAGAGTGGACAGAAGGGAGGAGAGGGGGGAGAGAGAGAGAAAGAGAAACATCGATGTGAGAGAGACATATCAATTGGTTGCCTCACACACGCCCCCTGAACGGGAATCCAGCCACCGAGCCAAACCAGCCAGGGCTGCACCTTATTTTATACATTACAATCAAAAGAGAAGGAGCAAGTGGGTCACATGAAATACATTGGTGATAGATTAGGGAGAGGAGAGAAAGCAAAGGGGAAACCTCCGGGATTGGATAAAAAGTAAAATGATAGACATACTTCTTTTGCATAGGTGGGTATAGAATAGTTAACAGTCAACAATTAACTCAATAACAATGAGGGTGGTCTCTGCAGAGTGGTGCCTGTGCTTTGAGGGGTCCGGAAAAAGGAAACTTGCTCTGACATTCCAACAATGTTATTGTAGATGCAAAAAGACAATAGGCTCAGTTAGGGTAAAGATTGACCTTTGTCAGGGTAGATGCTGGCCTAGGACATGACTACCTGCCATGAACTGCTTTTAGTTTAAAAAGTTTTCATTTCAGACCAACCTTTGTGGCTACTCTAGATCTCTGAGTTTGCAAGGCCTCCACGCCAGGCCTTCCCTGAACTTACCAGGTTTAGTATGCGCCCCTTTCCATCCACACCTCAAAACTCTTACCTCAACCCATTACCAGTTCCAAAGCCACTTCCACGCTGTAGACATTGTTACAGCAGCACCCCACTTCTCAGTAACAATTTCTGTCATCCATTCCGGCTATTATAACAAAAATACATCAGACAGGTGGGTGGGGCTTATAAACAACAGAAATTTATTTCTTACAGTCTGGAGGCTGGAAGCCCAAGGTCATGTATGGTACTGGGCCATTGGGTCCGATGAGGGCCCCTCCCTCGCAACCACATCTCCGCTGTAACTTCACGGGCAGTGGGATGGGGGATCTCTCTGGGGTCTGTAGCAAGGGCACGGATTCCTCCTGAGGATGGAGCCATCATGTCTTAACCTCTTCCAAAAGCCCTACCTCCTCCTACCATCACTGGGAGACTAGGATGTCAGCATGGATTTGGGGAAAAGGAACATTCAGACCATAGCACCAGGGACCTTGAAGGCTGGTATCAGCTGTCTCCACTGCTGGAGAGAAGCCAAGATGCTGGGAGCATCAAGGAAGTCCCGCCCCTGCATCCCACATCCCACCTCCACATCCTGCCCTTGCATCCCACCCCAAACCCCACATGCTGCCCCTGCATCACACCCCACACCTGACCAAATCCTGCCCCAGCACCTGCCCCTCTGTCCCACACCCTGTATCTCACCCCTGCACTGAGCTGGAAGGGAGGGCAGCACTCGGAGCAGAGCTGAGAAATGAGAAGCAAATAACTGACCAATCATCTTACCCCCAACTCCTGCCACTGCTAGTTGGGAAGCTGGTCACTACTCCTCAAGGCATCCCCAGGCTGCAGTCTGGGTTCACCTGAGCTTCTTGTAGTGTCTGCCGTGTCCCTCTATCCCCTCTATTTCATGTAGTCTGGAAGCTGGATGGTGAGTTCTGGTTGGACACACTCCCTGCAGGGTGCCCAGTCCTCAGTCAGCTGGTCTCACTTTGAGGATGGGGACAGCCTTTCACGTGAAAGGTTTGCCGCCAAGGACATCGCCCGAAGCAGCCCCTTGATGAGAGTGGTGGCCCCGTTGTCATTACTTCTGCATTCGGGGCTGGGACTCCCTCAGAAGAACTTCTGCTTCCACTAGGCTAAGTGTTGTTTCCCTGAAAATGTTCACACCAGAAAGCCAGCATAGAAGCATAATTCTTTCAAGTATTGACAAAAGAAATACTCAAACTTGTAAAAAGCCTTTAGTGAGAGTCTATTTGAGCCAGGACTTTGAGGACATGCCCAGAAGTAAGATCTCCACGGACTGAGACAGTGCTCCGGAGAAGGGTGCTTTTGCAGTTCTTTTAGGATCAAAAGAGATGTCAGAAAGGTCACATGAAGTCCACTGGTGGCAGGGAAATCTCTAGGCTTGGCTAGGGAGGAAAGTAGAGATACACGCCTGCTTTACATTGGTGGGTGCAGGATGGTTCACACAATCACAGTGAGGAGAGACCTTGCAGCAACGAGATGAGTTTCCACGCGGTCCTGCCCTGCCGCTAGTGGGCCGGTTTTGAGGGTCTGGAAGTGAAAATTACTCTGACGTTCCAGACATGTGATGCCAGATGCACAAGAACAGCAGACAGGCTCCCTCAAGGTGAAGACAAGCCTCTCACAAGGAAGCTGTGGGATGTGACCTTCCACCAGGACCTGCCCAGTCAGGGGCTGATGTTCAGACCCTCCTGTGTGGAGGTCTGGACAGCCACCTCTTCATTCTCACCTTTAACTGTGAATTCTTAGAGTAAGAATGTGCTAACCCTGGGTGATGCCCGAGGATCGCGCTCTTTTCACTCCCCCACACCACCCCGCAGCTCCTCCCGCTCCTGCTCGAGCCGGTCCTTCTGTACATTTGATGGAATTCTAGTCCACTGCAGCCTTTTTCTCTCTGACAGATGGGAGGTGCTCCCATGATCCCATAGTTGGCCTGACAGAGCCCCCCCAGCCCCGATGACTCCGTGTTCCAGCACCACCACTGCCCCCCATATCTCCTGCCCCAGAGCCCATTCTTACTGGGGGTGGGGCATTGGAGAGGGTGGGACTCAGAGACCACAGGCAGCCGCTCTGCTTCCAGGCCTGTTCCATGGGCAGAACTGAAAAATCATTTTATAATTGATTTATTTTCACTGAACTTTGCGAGATGAAGGTGCTGCATGACCCTTCACCCTGAAATGCTTAGGCATGCGGCATACACATTTTTTAAGAAGAAAAAAAAAAAAGTATGTGTCCACACTATTTCCAATTCAAAATTTAAGATTTTAAAGTTTTTTCCTTAAAATTTTTCATTTTACATCTTTTAAGATGAAAATCTTGGTTCTTCAAAACATTGAAATTATTTGCTTTTTTCTACAGGACACAATTATTTTGGTATAATAATATTCTTATTAACAATAAGATTACTGATTAAAGTTTGATATATTTTTAAAAATATATTTTATTGATTTTTTTACAGAGAGGAGGGGAGAGGGATAGAGAGTTAGAAACATCGATGAGAGAGAAACATCAATCAGCTGCCTCCTGCACATCTCCCACTGGGGATGTGCCCACAAACAAGGCACATGCGCCTGACCGGAATCAAACCTGGGACCCTTCAGTCCGCAGGCCGACGCTCTATCCACTGAGCCAAACTGGTCAGGCAAAGTTTGATATTTTTGTTCCTGTTTTTATGCCTTCCTCATTAAAGATATAGTTAAAATATCTTTAGTCCCGGTCGGGGTGCATCCAGGAGGCAACTGATCTATGTTTCTCTCTCTTTCTCAAGTACATATAAATGGAATGAGCAATTTCTCTGGTTGCTTATGTCATCAACTTGATACACAAACTAATTTAACTTCTACAAATTGAGTGTTCTCTTAGGTTAGCTTTGTGTAAAACATCCTATATTACTTTATTGTCAATATCAAAACTGTAAGTTTGCCCTAGTTGGTTTGACTCAGTGGATAGAGCATCAGCTCTCGGACTGAAGGGTCCCAGGTTCGATTCCAGGAAAGGGCACGTACCTTAGTTGCAGGCTTGACCCCCAGCCCCTTTTGGGGCACATGTGGGAGGCAACCAATCGATGTGTCTCTCTTACATCAATATTTCTATCTCTCCCCTTCTCTGCCACTCTCTCTAAAAATCAATGGAAAAATATCCTCCGGTGAAGATTAACCAAAAACAAACAAACAACAAAACGGTAAGCTAAGGTACCTTTTGCCCCTCACAGAGCCCAGCTGTAGGGTGACCCTGAGAAGCCGTGTGCCAGTTTATCCAGCAGGTCCCCTCATGCTGGGCATTTACTTTGTTGTCTTTTATTGTTCCTGGATTTGAAATCTTATTTGGGAGTGTTTTGCCCACTCCTCAGTTCCAAAGAAATTCACTTTTTTTTTCTAGTACTTGTTTCATTTTTTATATTTAGCTCTTTGGTCCATTTGGAGTTTGACTGGTGCAGTGGGATGTATGGTCTGGTTTAATGTTTTTCCCAGTGGCTCACTGAGTCGACAATCAGTGACAAACCCATCCTCCCTGCTGCCTGAGCTGCCACCGCTCCCGGGCTCATCCTGGGGCTGGGCCCGAGTCTAGATGTCCCGAGTCTCTGCCCGTCTGCATCTGGTCTGGTGCCTGGTAGAGACGGCCCGGTCCCTCCTCATTCCTCTTCTTTTTCAGCGTTTTTCTGGCTGATTTTGCTTTTTGGTTTCTCTCATATGAACTTTATAACTAGCTTGTTTAAATTTAGGAAAAAAACATTCTGGTATTTTTTTGGTAAGGATTACATTAAGTTTATAAACGTGTAAACGTGGAGAACTGTCTCCTAGCGTGGGTTTCCTGTCCGGAAGCTGGTGTTTCTGTCTGCTCGTCTACTTGGGTGTCTTTAGGGTCCTGATTGTCCTCACAGAGGCTTCACGCCTAGAACGTGATCCTTTGCTGCTGTTGGAAATGGGGCACCTCCCCCAGTGTCTTCAACCTGCACATGCATAGACCACTGATGTGTCACTTCACCCCTGTGCTCCTGAGTGCTCTCAGCGTCTGAAACATTACCTTCTTATGCTGGAAATGCCAGCACATTTGGTCCAAGTGAATGACAGAAGGCGGGGGCAGGCAGGGTGGCCTTGTGCAGCACTGGTCTGAGGCTGTCCTCTTCCTCTCCACCCCCCACCCCTTTCTCCTGCCTGCTCCCTTCCTTCTCTCCACCTGCCAGACCTCACACTGCAAGGCCACTGGGGAAGGGGTGCTGAGCAGAGGCTGAGGGGACAGTGCAGGGGGCTAGGGGGCTGGGAGGGGCAATGGGGCAGTGAGGAAACTGCGCCATCGGGACCCTTCTTCTTCCCGAGGCTGCACGGGAAGCAGGGCTAGACCTTAGCAGTCGTCTGGCTCAACCTGCCTTGTACAGAAAGGGAAACTGAGGCTGAGAAGCCACATTGCAGGCCTCCTGTGCCGTGTGCCTGTGGCTTGAGCGGGAGTCGGATGGGCTGCAGGCGGCAGGCCCTGCTGGGGACAGACGGGAGCCAGGCTCAGGGCCATGGGGCAGGCTGCAGTGGGGAAAGGGCTGTGTGAGCCAAGCAAAGGGATGGGAATGGCAGGGACGGACGGGGTTTGTGGGGAGTAGGGCGACTGGGCACCCTGCTCTTGTTCACCTGTGTGTGCGTGCTGGTGTGTGAGCTCCTGCTTGTGGCCCACAGGAGCAGAGGGCAGCCGATGAGGGAAGACGGCCTATCACGCAGGATTCACCTGCCTCCTGTCCGGTCCGGGCAGCCGCAGGGAGGATAGGCACACAGACGCAGGCAGGTCGCCTTCCACTGCTGTGACACTTTATTGGAATCGAACACACACACCCCCGTCCTGGTAGGTCAGGAGTTGGTGCATTCACAGATCAGGGGTGCGGGCCTGGAGCCCAATCCCGGTCCCTGCCACAGGTGGGCGCACTCTCCCGCCAGGGATGGATTAAGCAACAGCACATGAGCCTTACGCTCTGTGGGGTCGGTAAGATCCCACGGCTCCTCTAGCCTTGGCCAGGCTCAAGTCACCTTCAGGCCCAATGTCCTGACATGGTCACCCTTCGTGGATGGGACCCTGTGTCAAGTGAGAGTTTGGTGTTCCCAGCTGCCTTCCTTTTGGGCCCGGGAGGTCACCCTGACCTTCTGGCTCCACAAGAGGCACAATGGAGCAGGGCCACAGGCGGGCACTGAAGGCCAGCTCCAGGCCCAGGGGAGCCTGCGTTCCCACTTCCCGAGGGTCTGGGTGTACAGAGAAGGGGCTCGCGGGAGGAGGGGCTCTGCGGGAGGAGGGCAGTGCCTCGGCCCAGAGCCTCCTGGTTCCAGGGCCAGGTTCATCTTTCTGGCAACAGCACAAAGAAGGCAGCCTTCAGGAAGCGGCCGAAGCTGCAGAGTGCAGTCACAAACCAATGGGACTGGAAGCCAGGGTTGCTGCTGACCACACACTTGAGGACGTCGGTCTGCAGGGAGGAAGGGACAGTTGAGAACAGAGCTGGGGAGCGGAGGCCCCCGAGCCTTCCACCTGTGTCGGCCGAGCCGACAGGGAGCACTGAGCCATGAAGGGAAGGTCTGTGGTCTGGAGGGGACTGAAGGCTCCAGCAGGGACCAAACCCCTCCATGAGGATTCAGATGGTGAGAAGGGAAGGGAGCTCAGCTGGGAGAGGAGGCAGCTGGGCCCCATGCCAGGAAGCCACCATGTCCAGCCCCAGTGGGGCTCCCGTGGGAGCGGGCAGGAGAGGACAGAGGCCTCAGAGTCCCTGTGCTGGGGGTGCCACAGCCACGGGAGTCACCTGCAGGCAATACCTCCCCGCCCAATGCCCCCTTCAGATGAGACCACAGCCCTTGGCTGCAACCTCAACGGAGGGCTGAGCTCGACACTCCTGCCAGTGTGTCCCACCTATTTTACAGAGAAAACAGATCTATGGGTGAGGGTGCCCCGCCCCATGCCCAGGGCCCAGCAGCCCCCAAGGTCTGGCTGGGCCAGGTGAGTAGTTAGGGGCACGGAGACAGTGTTGGAGATGACCAATGCCATCGCTCACTAGGCACTGGAGCCCCGTGGGGAGGGCAGGGCAGGGCAGTGCTGGGCCTTTCCCTCTCAGGCCTGAAGTCCCTCCCCAGGCCGCCTTCTGCAGTGCAGGGGCCAGGCAGCGGGTCTTTAGAGCTGGAATTGGGGGTGGAGGGAGAGGTCAACACTGAGGTGGGGCAGCAGGCCAGTCCTGGACCCAGCAGCCCAACCCTTACTCGTCCTCCCACCTTTAGCACCACTCCCCTTCCCAGCACCCCTGCACCCCCAGACCCCGCTCACCCATCCACCGCGCCTCCGCAGCCAGGTTGCCAGGGTCTTGCGCACAAACTCCCCGAGGCAGTCGACGAGAGCATGAACCACGGCGGGCTGGGCCTGCCGCACACAGTCCACAGCCAGCCCCGCAGCCACCAAGTACAGGGACACCACCTTGCCCCACGTGATGCCTGCAGGGAGAAGATGCTGGTCAGCAGAAGGCCACCAAAACCCTGCTCCAGTCCAGCCCGCGGGGTCCCATGATGGCTGGGGGTGAAACTCAGGGGGCTAGCCACTACCCACAGCGCCCCCGAACAGGTGCCTGGCCATCATCTGCTGCAGGTCAGTCCTGCCCACCCTTTGGGTAGTTCTTAGGCAGAGATTTCTTTGGACTCCACTGCCTAACTGTGCACTTGTGCCAGAGCCCTGGACGACCCTGCTCAGCCCCCATCTCCTGGAGGAGGCAATGGGACGGCAAAGTATTCAGCGAGGAGGAAGCTGAGGGGGTGGAGGGTGCTAACTGACTTGCAGCTGAACACAGTGGACAGTAAGAAGCTCTGAGGCACACCTGCCCACCTGTCTGTCCCCCTGGGCACCCTCTCTGTGGGGCAGCAGGGTGTTCCATGGGAGGAAGGGCCTTCCCAGACCACCAAGCTGTGTGGGGGCGGGGGGTAGAGCTGAGAAGAACCACCCAGAGAAGTATGCTTGCACATTATATGGTAGGAATTCCCTTAATATATAAAAATATTTTATAAATTAATGAGAAGAAATAAGCACAGAACATGAACAGCTGATTCACAAAAGGAAAAACAGAAATAATGCATTAGACATGAAAAATGCTCTAACAACCCGAGGGTGCATTACAATGGGATGCAGACTGTAGTCCACAAGATCAGAACTCAGATGGCAACATGAGCCCCAGGCAGCTGCAGCCTCGCAATGGACGCACAGCCACCTGCAAGCTGAGAGGACACGCGGGCAGAGATGAAGCCCTTCCGTCTACCTACACAGCAGCACAGCTATCGATACGAATCAGAAATCAGCTTGAGCAGATACTTGTTCACGAAGTTCACAGCAGCCTTATTCCCAATCACCAAAAGCTGGAAATGACAAATGCACTAGGGTCATCCAGACAATGGGTGTGACTCGGCCGTAAGGAGTGAGGCATGGACACTCACTGCAGCCTGGACACACCTCCGACGTCCACTCAGCAAGGGCAGTGACACCAAGGCCACCCGTATGAGCCCGTCTACACGATGTCCAGGAAGCAGGTCCGTGGTTACTGGGACAGGGGTGGGGGGAGGGACAGCTAATGAGCATGCGTATTCCTCCTGATGGTGAAAAACTCCGGGGTGGTGGTGCAGTGTGAACCCACTACATGCCACGGAATCGTACACTTTAAAATGGCTAGCTGTGTTATATGAATTTCACCTCAATAAAAACTTGATGAATCAAATCATGTCACTCCCCTGCTTAAAAACCTCCTGTCACTGTTACTTCCCTCTGTCAAAATAGGCCCAAGTCTGAAATGCCAGAGCTGGCTCATCCCCCACCACCAGGGTCTAGTCTAATCAGGTCCCCCTCCTAGCGCCACTCAGGCCCTCACACTATGCTCCCCATTTACCAGATGCCACAGGGCACCGGACCTGTTCTGCTCACAGCTGGGCTTTGGGCACCCCTAGGCTCAGCACTCTCAGGTGAAGGGTTGATGTGGGCGGTGGGGACGGAGCCCGCCGCCTGGCTACAGCCTGGAATCTGAGACCGTGACAGCAGGATCTGTGGTGCGGTCTGCAGAGAGGTGCCTGCTACCCCGAGAGGACAGTGAGTCCAGGGACATCCTGTTTCCTTGTGTTTTACCATTTATGGAGATGTAGTATCACCCCGCTAAACTCATCCCTCTAAAGTGAGATATCGTGTTTTAGTCCATCCACAAAGTTGTGCAACCATTCCAGAACATTCTCATCACCCCAAAAAGCAACCTGCCCCCATGAGCAGTCACGCCCATCCGCTGGCCCAGGCACCTGTCCTGTGGACACGTCACCTATGGAATCACTGTGTGTCCCAGCGTGTCTGCCTCCTTTCACTCACCACGCCGTCCAGGCTCATTCAGGTCGAGGTGCATCCTTTCGTGGCCAAATAACATTCCATCCCGTGGATGGACCACACTCCACTTGTCTACACTCCGGTGATGAACACGCGGGCCGCTGCGCCTTCCTGACTCTCAGGAATCTTGCTGCTCTGAACATCTGTGCGCCAGTTTCTGTGTGATATGTTCTCATTTCTCCGGCTCTCATGGCACCTGCCTTACAGACTCTGGCACTCGTCCAAGCATCGGCCCTCTTCCCATTCCTGCCAGCAGCTAATGGGGCTTCCAACTCTTCCGATCCTCACCAACACATGTGCTACTGATGCTCTTACCTGAGCCTCCCAGGCGCCAAAGGGTGTCCCTGGTGGTTTGGTGTGCGTCTCCCTAATGACTGACAACGACTGATCTTTTCGTGGGCTTACCGGCCATTTGTACATCTTCCCTGGAAAAATGTCTGTCCAGATCCTGTGTTCATTTTTAAACTGGGTTGTCTTTTTAGTATTATTTCTAAGAGTTTTTACTTTCTGATTCTTCTGTGGTAAAATAATTTGCTCTTGTGATAAGGGAAAAAATGCAAACTCTTGCCAACTGTTAATCTGGGAGGGAAAAATTAGTTTTTCCACGGAAGTGAATTGAGAAGCCCAAAGTTGCCTCTCCCTTGGAGGGGGCTCGACCACTGCAGGGGCCACCATGGGAATCTGCCCTCCGGTCCTGGAGCTGCCCACAGCACCGGCACCGCCCCCGCCCCAGCCCCGACCAGAGGCCTAGTGGAGAAAGAAGGGGGTCAGCCTGTGCAAGGCCTGGCGGCAGCTTGGCAAGAACCAAAGGCAGAAAGGGACAAGGGCCAGCAACTGCCTGATGCTGGGCTCACCCTGTGGTGAAAGGGTCCAAGGACCCCGAGGGCTGGGATGGACGAGGGGTGACAAGGAGCCCACAGGCAACAAGCAGGAGGGCACCTCTCAGGCCTGTCCCCGCACTGGGCGAGGCTGGGCAGGCTAGGGTAGGATGCTCTGGCCCCTCTCACACACACAACCAACAGGGGCCAGGCCCCCGCCTCCCTGCTCAGTCCCAACCACTAGCAGGCCGGAGCTGCCTTCTCACAGATGAGCCTTCCTTTTAAAGCCAGCCTTGGGCTCGTAAACCAGCTGCCTGACAGCCTGGAGACAGACACAGGCGGCCACCCACGCGCCGGCATCGGGCCAGGGATGTGGGAGTCCAGGAAGAGCCAAGGGCAGGCGTCAGCCAGGACACCCACCTCGTCCTCCTGCTTTCTCCATGGCCCCACCCACCTCACCCTCCACAAGGTGCCTGACAGGTCACAGTCCCTCCACCCCCCAGGGCTTCCCAGGATCCGGGTCAGCACTGGGAGGACATTCTGGAGGAAGACATCCCCAGCCCACCCAAGCACCCCCTCACGCCGTCTTCACCATGGTCACTTCTGCCCGGGGCGGTCAGCACTGACCCACCCAGTGGTGGCGCTGGAGGCTGGACTCTGCAGCTGGCAGCCCCCAGTCCGGGCCAGTCCCGTGTCCCGTGTCTCGCTGCCACACTTGCCACAACTGAGAGAGGCCTACGACTCAGGCCCTGCTCTGTCCCTGGTCGTCTGGCCGAGTGAAACCCAAGCCCCACAGGACATGTGCAGGACTCCCTGGCCCCATCCAGCTCGGTCAGGACTTCAGGTCACTGCAGCCCCAGCTAACGTCCAACAAGAACCATGTGAGGCTCTGTGCCAGTTGCCTGGCAGGCCCTCCGTCTTTACCAAGAGAGCAGCATAGCCCCGGCACCGGCCCCAGCCCTGACCCCAGGGCCACACTGGCATTGCTGGCTTCCTGGGCTGGATGCAGACATACCTGCAGCAAAGATCTGGGCGGCCACAGCCAGGAAGGCGTCGGTCACCACGCTCTCAGAGTGCAGGGAGATGTTCAGCTGGCGCGCCACGTTGCGGTAGATGCTGGGCCGAATCAGCTCCAGCTCATCCCCTGCAGTCACACGGGGGGTCAGAGGGCTCCACACCTGCCTGACCCCAGCCCCCTGTCACAAGGGCCTGGGACCAGCCCACTCCTCAGCCCCATTGCCACAGCTGGCTTGGAAACCCTTCCTGCACTGACTGGCCTATATCTGACCCCCACTCAGCCCCTGGGCAGAGGAAGACCAGGGAGGTGGGGTGGGCACTCTCAGAACCTGCTCTGTGGCCCACCCCTTCTGATGAGCCAGCTCCCCTACTTCCCCCCCCGCCCCCCCCCCAACCTAAGGCCAATCCGGCTGGGCTGGTGGGGTGGGAATCCCGGGAGGAGCATGGGCCGTGCCTGATGGGTGACTCATGGCCCACAGTGAGCTGCCCGGGCGGCAGGCAGACAGGGCAAGCAGCCAGATCCAACAAGGGCAGGGACTTCGACCCACACAGGTGGGCCGCCCTAGCCACTGCCTCAGAGGCCACTCTCACTCAGACCCCAGCGCCGCTTGGTGAACCAAGAAACTGAGCCATCATCCGGGGCCTCCAGCACTGCCCGAGCTCCAACTGTGCTTGTGCCAAGTGGGTGTGTGCATGGGCAGCCACACTGCGGAGGACAGGCCCTGTCACCAGCCCTGCCTGCCGCCTGCGCTCCCTGCGGCGCCCCTGGCAGTGGCGTGCCGGGAATTCCACAGACGCGCACTGGGTGTCTCTCAGCCCACCTCTCCAGCCAAAGCAAACAGGGAAACGCCGACTGGACAGTCCTGGCCGATAAGGACGCCAGAGTCATCCCTGGAGCCAGCTGCACACTATCTAATTAATTAAGATCTGGACCAAGCAGAACTGAGGCGGGGTGATGAGGGGGCATGGAAATTCCCAGGGCTGGCCTGGCTGTTCCCACAGAGACCTTGGGGGCTGCTGGGGAATTATCCCAAGAGACTGAGCATGGGAAGTGACCCAGCTTCTTCCTGTGTGCGCTGTCCCCGGAGCTGGGTGTTTGCTGAGGAGGAGCTGGGGGCAGGGAGGCAGCAACAGGCCCAGGGCAGGATGCAGGGAATGAGACATACACGCTCACTCTGGGGACCCAAGTCACCTCCTTCCAAGGCCCCCTCAGCCATCTGGCAGGGGCTGTGCCCCAGGGACTGGACGTGGCCGGGCTGCACACTGGGAAAGGGCCTTGAAGGCCGAGTTTCTGAGAGGGTCAGTGCAATACCCAGGCCCAGGCCCAAAGGATGGGGCTCTCAGAGTGGAACAGAGGACTGAAGGGACAAAAATGAGCCCATCAGATCTGCAGTGCAAAGCAGGGCTTTTCAGACGAGCTTAAACAACAGGGACACCAGGCCTAGGGTAGGGGCAGCCTACAAGGCCAGCGCCAGGTTGCAGAGCAAGCCAGGACAGACAGGACTCCAAGCCCTGCCAGGGGTCCTCTAGAGTCTAGAAGGTGCCCCCCAGTGTCATCCCCACAGCCCAGCTAGAAGAAACAGCAGTGGGCAGCTGACCTCACGGGAGTCCAGGCGCTCCAGACCCCTGACTGATCCCCAAACCCACTTGCTCTCCACACCCACGGCCCAGGTGGGACACCACCCTTCTGGAGCCCTGCACAGGCCCCCACTGATTCTGTGTCTCTCACACGCTCCTGGGAGGCCAGATACACATACAACCCTGCTCCCAGGGGCCACACAAAACAGGGACAAGCAAACACCAGTGTCAGCCTCTCCCCACACTTGGCGTGGAGAGGACTGGTGAGGGTCCATCTTTGCTGCCTCCTGCTCTCCAAGTGCCCACTCCCAGAACTGAGACTGGCTGGAGGTCAGGACCTCAGTGCCCACGGTGAGGGGTCCAGACCCTGGAGAAGGTGGAGACAATTATTGGGTTGGGTGTGATCCTAGAAACAAATATGGGCCAGCCCCACGGTGGTGTCAGCTGTCCTGGGCACCCAGTTCTGCCGGGAGGGGGACCCTTGGTGGCCTCTAAATCAAGAAAAAAGAGCAGCAGACGGCAGGATTTCAGCCAGTAACTAAAAGGACCTATTTTCCAAAATAAACACCGGCATGTGGTCCGACCAAGGATATTTGTGCCCAGCTGAGTACAAGGGTCACTGGAAATGTAGCCACCAAAACGTTATTCTTCCTACAGCTTTCTATCCTTTATGGCCAGGCTGTCTGAAATCTGGGCTGAGCAGACAAGTTGGGGGAGGTCTGTAGAGTGCAGGGAGCCCCCCGAGAGGGGTAAATTCAGGACTGTGAGAGAGGGGGAGCATCGCCTGGGTAGCCTGCCTCCACGCATGGCTATTCCGCCCCCTCTCTGCCCCAGAGGGAGATTGAGGCCCAGAAGTGGAGGGTACTGGCCAGGTCACCCCGTGGGCGGGTCACTGTGGAGACAGCTGTACCCTAAGGTGCAGTGGGCCCAACCCAGCGGACCAGCTCAGAAGGCGCAGTCTGGGGACCCATCCCGCCTGGTCCCACACTCACCCAGGAGCAGTCTGGGGACCCAACCCGCCTGGTCCCACACTCACCCAGGCGCAGCAGCACCGTGCACACCTCTGCGAGGCGGCCGCCCGGGGCGAGCGCGGCGGCCTTGGGGGCCCCTCCAGGGAAAACCCGGGGGCCAAGAAACCCGGGGGTACAAAATCTCCCCGGGGCGAGGCGCCTTTATTTTGGGCCCCACAGGTCCTTTTGGGGGGGCGAGGGGTAAAAGAGGGTCCTTTAAACCTGGGGGGAAAAAACCCGAAAAAGCCCCGGAACCCTCTCTATGGGGGGGGACCGCGGGAGGGGGAGGCCCCACCTTCGGGGGGAAAAACGGCCTTCCCCC